AGCACTATGAAAACACCCAGCAAGTGACACACATTCCTCTTGGCCTGAAAGCCACCTTCTCCGTGATGCTGACTCCGGGGCCAGTAGACCGAAGCGAGGGCCACTTCTCCTGGGTCACAGGCCGTTGGCACGTGCCTCCCCCGACCATTGCCGCAATTACCCGCGTGTCCATCCCACAGCTCACGGAGAGCCCGGCTCGGCGCAGGAACGCGTCTGTCCGTTTCTGTTCACTCAGCACAAAACCCGGGGGCGGGAAGAGCCCTGACGAGAGGCTGAATAGGCGTCCGGAAACGAACGAACGTCGCGACAGTGTCACCCGCCGGGACAGTAGGAGACAAGCAGCTCGGCGAAGACACCCGCTCACACCTCGCCCGAGTTCACGCGCACAGACCACCGCAGCTGCGTGTGGAAGTCGGGAGCTGTGAGCCTGGCCTGTAATTTGACCACGGCGAGGAAACTGTCACCGAGGCTAGCCTGCCGGGGAGGTCTGGGGAAGGCGACAGCGGACGACAGCCGTTCCGCAAGCAAAGCCCTCAGCTGGGTGCCACACGCCGGGGGCACGCGACGGGCTTCCCGGTCGCTCCGTACGCCTCGCCCCGCAACTTCAGCTGAACGTACAAATTCTGCGCCTTCCCGCCTGAAAGCTGAGTGTCTAAGACTGGTCGGCCATGAAGGACACGAGTCTCTTATTTAACATGAGAACATTCTTCCCCGAGGTCCGAGGACTGAAGACTTGTTTTCTAGAAACCAGACTGTTTGACAAACACGGCACACAGAGCCTTAAACTTCGTCTGTCACAGGAGGTCAATGCCAGCCACTCGCCCGGGGCAGCTATAACTCACAACGATAGGGCCACTCACGAGGTGGCCCGCAAGCCTGTTGGAAATGCGGTTCTCGGCCCGAGTCCGGAGCCGAGGGGCTGGGCCGCAGGGGCCCGCCCCGCCAGGAGCCCCCGCGCAGGCATCGCAGGGTTCTGAGCGGCGCGGACTGGTGTGGCCACCTGACATTCAGTCCGGTGACTTTGCGAGCTGCCAGAGGACTTAACACTCCTGTCTTGCCGAACTCCCTAGAGGTCCGTCTTCAAAACCCCGTGACCAGACGTCATTTCTGAAAAGCAGTGCAAGCCCAGGTGAGCTTGGACGCTTTGTCTGGCTGCCACCCAGGAAAGCGGGCAGCGGCGGACAGCCCCGGCGTCCCCTATGAGGCCTGCCTGTGTCACCAGCATGAACCAGGTCACCTTCTCGCCCTGCACCTCGCCGCTGGCACACAGGACGCAGAGCAGAAGGCTCAGGGAGAAAGAAGCGTGCAGGCGCGTGCTGGCCCCGTCTGCTGCCCGGCCCCGTCTGCTGCCCGGCCCGCTGCCCTGGTTTGGAGGCTGCAGTGCTGGCTGGGGTGATGAGCAGCGACTCCAGCAGGGAAAGGCAGTATTTTTAGTGGCTCTCTGTAAGCGTATCCGGCCGGGTTCTGGCCACCACGCACGAGGGCTGGGCGCAGCGTGTATGGGACCGCCGCGGGGTGCTCGGCCGGCAACGGGCGAGTGCGGGAGGTGCTCCCCACGTGCAGAAAACACTCTGCGGGATGGAGACACCAGCCCGCCCTGCCACCATGTCCCTGCAGCCTGGGGACAGCGCGCGGCTGCGGGCCGGGGCCTCAGACACAGGCCCCAGGTGTTGCAGGCCACCGCTGTCCCCCCGGACAACCTCGCAGATGCAGCAGAAGGGGACCCTCTCAGTCTTAAAGGCTCTAAGTAAATGCCAGCTACCAACTCAGTTCCGATCCGCCCCCGATCTGCAATGCCAGCCCTGCCAAAGCTGCTCGCTGTGACGAGACGCTTCAGAAAGGCAGCTGGCCCAGGGACGCCGCTCGGTCACGGTGCAGAGGGCACTACGCGGCGGGAAAACCGGCTCCAAGTCCCCCCGCAAACGCCGTGCTCCACACGGACTTCACTGTGAATTCCGCTGTTCGCTAAAGCTTTAAAAGCGTGGATGAGAAGTATCGGCTACAGCAAGCAGCTACTGGGAAAGTGACCTGAGTATATCGGAAACCTTCAGTTTAGAAGGGGCGAGGAGGGAAAGTTGAAAGCCCTTTAAGATAATTAATTGGACGTCGTCTTGCTCTAAAAAGGTCAATGGCACAGCCACAGAATGCAGGACGGGGCAGAATTAAAAGGGAAGCGGAGGACAAAAGGGCGCCTGGAGGTCTGGAGGGGCCTGAGGACACGCTCCCGCCCTCGGGGCTCCCGCCCTCGAGGCTAGGCCGGCAGCTTCCCTGCAGAGCCCCACCCAGGCTGGAGGGGCACGAGCTGCCTCAGAGGAAGCTGCTGTTCCGGCTCCAGCTCTGTGCTGTCACCTGCTCCGTCGTCCTCTGTCTCTCCTCGGAGCACCCCCCAGACGGCAGTGTCCTTCCCGGTGTTGCCCTGTGCCTGGGACACGGCCACTGGAAACTACTTCCATAAACGAATCCTTCCCATGTAACATTCTCGGGGAGAAAATCCACACGCAGGTTTGGAAAACGGAACACCAGAGAGAAAACGATTTTCATCACAAATATTGGCATCGCCGTGGGGAACAACGGCTCAGACTCTGAGCCCTTCGGACCTATTTCCTTCTCGTCCTCATTCTCTGCAGAGATTCATCTTGCACTTTATTTATTAGTGATCATGTTATACGTGCAATTTTAACATTTCACCGACTCATCTAAAACCCTTAAGTTGTGATGCTTATGAGAAATTTATAACTTCTAATGCGTGAAAATACTGTCCATGAAGACTAACCAGGTTCAGCGGCTGTATCCCACGAGTCTGCCTTTATAATCGGCAATGTCACATTATCCAACCTAATATTAGTACATTTGGATCACTTCTGATATTTTCACAATCATATGTACTGTTAAAATAACATTCCTTATATACAAAGCATTTTCGATGTTTTGGATATAAAAATTATTGCTTAAATAATATGAACATTTATTTACTTATAAAGCTCTAGACTTATCTCACCAAATTTGTTGTCACACTGACTATGCCAGTATAAAACCCCTCATCGACGTGAATGATGACTTCACTCTGCCCTATCCGGCACGTTCTCCTGCGTGACAAAGGGCAGCCGGGCAGAGGCCCTGCCCCTTCGACGTGGCCTGGGCCAGCGCACGCCTTCAGGCATCATGGCCTTTGTGAGGGGCACAAAACTCGCCTCCATTTTCCCAGGAAGGAAAACAAAGTCCAGCAAGGTTAGTCCACTCGCTCAAGGTCACGTGGCCAGTGTCAAGCCACGAACTGAACCCTGATCTCGGAGTAGCCGATACCCTTTCCTCCACAGCGGCCAGGACAGCACGTGGGTCCCACTGCATCGACTGGCAGGGACAGCCTGGAACTGTATGTTGGCAGGGACTACGGCCCCATCCAGGCTCAGGTAGAGACTCTGCTACCAGCAGCGTGAGGAGTCACGGGGCCCCAGGCAGAAGGGGTGACGCTGACCGTGGGCCCCGGGCTGCTGCCCAGTCACTTACACTGTACGTCCCAAGTGGCCACAGAACCGAGACATACGATGGCAGGAAGGCTGCACCCAATGAGTTTAAATTACTGAACTCAACCAGCACGTACAGCTGCACATTTAAATCCCAATGAGTTTTATTTTGTTGATGTGGCATTAGTTTTCTCAAATAGTGCCTGAAAAATCGATTCACATGGTTAGGAAGCGGAGAGCCATTGTGATGAACACACACGCACCTGTCAGAAACAGTTACCTGATTATCGTATTTCAGAGACTGGGTCCCGACCAGGAACCGGATGGCGTCTGTCTCCGCAGTCTGCGGGGTGAGAGCACGTGCCTGCGGGCAGGAGAGAGTGCACACGCGCTGTCAGACTCCGCATGGCGCCCCACGCACTCCCGCCGCCCGCCCGCCCGCCCGCCCGCGGGGCGCCCGCCAGACAGCGTGGGCAACTTGGACACGCTGTAAAAAGCCTTCCACCTTCGTACACTGAGACACAACAACCCCACTTCTGATGCGCTTACAAAAACAACTGTAAGTGGGCACAAAAGTTAGCACTGAAGATGGAAAGTGTGCTCATAAAACTGTGCTTTTGACGCTGATGGGCTGGTTGGACAAATCGTTCTCCAACGTGGCCCCGGCAACAGCAGAGCAGGTGGCTTAAGCTGAGTGTCCGCGATAAGCCGCAGACGTGTGACACGGGACCACGGGGCGGCAGGGCACCGACGTGCTGGTCCCGGAACTGGCAGGCCGGCGCGGGTTTGCTAGGCCAGCACCAGGCCGGAGTACTGGCCCGCACGGCCCGCCACAGGCCCGGTCCACAGCCGGGCCGCCCGCGGGCCCATCACGCCGAGCCCCTCCACGCTGCTCACATCCTCGCCTCGCTCACTTCAAAACGGCGAGAAAAGCGGTTTGACAGCCGTGCCGACCATGCAGCCTGGTGCTGGCAAGGTCCCCACACCGGTGGGCACCGAAGCCTGCTGGGCGTCTCCTGCACAAAGGCCTGGAGGTGGCCGCTCCACGCACGGCCCTCAGAAACACGGCCGTGTCACACATCCCCGCCCTCCCTTCCTCAACACACACGGCACACCGCACATCAGCTACAAATGCACATTTCCGGAAAAGCAAGAAAACACGTGTCTAAAGGGGTATTCCCATCATCAGACATTTGAGGGAAAAAACCTGTTTCAGCCAACCCGCCCACCCAAAGTTCTCTGAGAGGCCCTCTGCCCGTGTGCCTGCATCTCCTCAGCACAGCCTGGCGGCACGGTTTTTGGAAATTAGCAAAGTTGATGAATTCTTTATGAATCTGTACATCTTCTGCCAAAATGTACCCACCTATACACAGAACTTTGCATGTACCAGCAAATTCACAGACTCTCTGAGTCCTATCCAATCCAAACAGCCCTGGTTTAAGAGAAAATGTCTCATAAGGAAGTGTCCTCGCCATTCCTGAAGGTCAAAAGCCCGACCACTCAGCTTAAGACTGAAGCGGGGATTAAGTGCCATCACTTTAAAACAGAAGAAAACCGAAAAGGAGTAAATCGTATTAGGGCGATTAGACTGAAAAAGAGGGGTGATTCAGGAATGCAGAAGCTACCTCAGTGACAATATGAACCAGCACTCAATTTGCTTCATTCTAAAGCAATTTATAGAGCCAAGAACAGCGTGCCTGACGACGAATTAACAGTAAACACGCACAGAAAAGTGTCTGACTAGATCATCTGTTTCCGAAAAAAGTCGCTATTGCTTCAGGAAAGGGTTACAGATATGAAACTGCCTTGTTCCATCCCACATGCAAAGACTTTTTTTTTTAATTAAAGAGAAAAAAAATTCTTACCAAAAAAAATCTAATCTGCATCTTTAAAAATTACAATGAAATTTCTTAAAAGTTTAAGATCTTTCTAGTACATTATTGGGTAAAATTACAAAAAATAATTGAGCCCTGGCCATTTGGGTGACAGATCTATATCCATGTCCGTAATTCTGCTTCTTTGATTACATGAATGATAAAACGACCTTTCTAAATCGTCATGATGATAGTTTCGAGGTGTTCCAAAGATCCTAACACAATAAGATCAAAATTTCATAGTATAATAGGTCACAGAAAATTTCCATGTATTTTATCCTGGTTTATCCTCATAAATCTACGACGTGGACAGGAAGACGGGATGCATAACATTATCCCACTGAGAAGATAAAGACGCCGAGGACTAGACGGTGAAGTGACTTCACTGCGGTCACACGGCTTCTAGAACAGAGCAACCTAGTCCTCTTCCCACTGTGGTGAAGCAGGGAGCTCAGAACGCAGCCGATGTTTACATATTTGGCCAAAGTTAGATCGTGGAGCACTTTATTATAACTCCACGAGTCTTTCCTAGTTTTCCAAAGGCCGTGGCCTTCTCTTCACAGAGCTGTCTTTCTAGACTACCATCCCCGTTTGGTGAACCAACCAGTAAGAGGCAACTGCAGACACCAAGAGCCAAGAGGACAGCAAGCAAGAAGCACCGAGAAGTGACGGCCAGTCCCGCTCAGGGGCGGGAGGCCTGACGGCCAGCAGAGGAAGAACTGCGAACATAAATTCCCTTGGGAATTCCAGACTGTACTCATTGCTGAGCAGACTGAGCAAGTCGATGATCGCCCCGGATGACACCAGGCGGCAGCCAGACTGGCCCAGCTGGAGTTCTTCATCGGAGTCTCCCCGCTGGGAGCCATACTCCAGACAAGTCCAAGGCCACGCGAGAGGCCGAGCAGACAGGGGCCGTCTGCTTCAGGCAGTGGAGACACAGCGCCGGGTCAGTTCGACCTCCGCCATGAGTGAGCTTCCTCCAGGAGCGACCTCCTTCCCGAGAGCCGCCCCCAAGTCACTGGGGTGGCACTGGAGCGGGCTGGAGAGCAGCTGAGGCACTGTCCCCGCAGAGCAGACCGACCCCTGGGGTCTAGCAGTCTGCCAGGAAAGGAAAAGAAAGGAAAGCAGGAAAGGCTCGACGCCCTCCCTGTGTGCTACTGAACGCCCACCTCCCGTGCCCCGCGGGAAACAGGCTGCAGCGGGGGGAAGGTTCTCGAAGCGAACACGCCGGAGGGCTGTGCGGCGGGCGCTCAGAACAGAACCGGACACGGGCCCTGCTGGGGAAGTATGTACATGAAGGCACACATGTGCACGTGTGCACAAAGTACATGTGCAAATTATACAGGCTACATGTAAGTTACATATGCACACACATCACATACGTGTGTGTCCACGTGTGCACACACAGAGCTATCCTGAGCCACGTGTTTTTCAAGGGAGAAAAAAAGGAGAAAAGAAAATAAGTTAGAACCAAAAACATGTCTGAGTGAGGTTTCTACCTCCACAACATAAATAATGAAAACGAAGCGTCGAGATACTCTCCAAATGGAAGCTGAACCCTATGTCACTTGGCCGAGCTCCTGTGCTTCTCCTACGCCTTGCTCTGTCCCGGGGGACACTCTCACCGGCCCCCTCCAACTGCTTAGGCGAAGGCCTGCCGCCGCTGAGAAGCGCCCCCTGCCGGTTGCCTGGCCCACATGGCTGGGCCCACGTTCGCCATGACCGTGTGTGGCCTGAAAACCCGGCTGCGGCCCTGCGCGCTCCTGCCTTCCATTACTCACACTGGCCTCAGTGACCCAGCCACAGGTATCAGGCACCTGCCAGGACAGAGGAGAAAGAAGGTACCTTTCCCGGCCCTGCTGCCTGCACCGCGGTGACACGCGCAGCCCTAGACACGATGAGCGGGGTGTCTGGCTCACAAAGCAGAGAGCTATGAGGGAGCCTGGGCCTGCACCAGCTTCTCTAAGACGCCACAGGGTCTCACTGCTCTAAGCCCAAGTGTCCTCAGTTTTAAAATGGGAAAGGATAAGACCTATGCCCAGGGCTGCTGTGACAATCACATGACTGTCACATCTATCTACTTATGAAATTCTACCAAAAATGGAACAAAAAGCCAAAGCTACGCAACATGAAAGCTGGAGGCTTTGTGAGAAACCAGATCTGACTGGAGCTGGAAGTGGAGACAGGGTTCCAGAAGAACTGTCTCCCCGAAAAGGAAGCAGCAGCCTACTTGCCGGGTAACCTGAGGAGGCAGCCACGTGGGAAATGGTACTGCACAGCACTCAGCTGTCGAGAGCAAGGTCAAGACTCACCAGTAACACACAATGAAAACAAGAAGCTCTTATTTATTATGGGAAAGATGAACAGTTATACAACGAAAAAAATGAAATCATAGTACTCTATTTTAATCAACAGTCAACAGTATTTACATAGTTGGAGAAACAAACACCCTGAATATGGAGTTGGCACACAAAAAACCTCTGATATTACTATGTTAGGGATGTAAAGGAAGGTCGGGCAGAGCATTAGGAAAGCTAAAAGTCTTCGTGTAATACGATGTCCAGTCACCAGATCGTGTCCGAGAGACGAGAGCAGGTAGGCAAAGACTAGAAGAAACAGTTTTTAAAAGGTTGAAAGTTGTCTCAGGGAATCAGATAAGATGGAAGGGAGTGTTTAGGGTCTGCCGATTTTAATGAGATTTTCAGCAACTCGACCTCGTAAATGACTTGTAAGAATTAGTTAGATTTTTGTAAGTTTTAAATTATATAAAATTTAAAAGGAACTAAAATCGCGAGCACAAGTCGAAAGTCCCTTCCGATGAGTGGAAAGATGCCAGTCACATGATACCAAGATGTTACCCAACTCAAGGGGTTCGCCACTTGGGGTGCTCTATTCAAGAATGAGGAGAGACGTGGTTGTTCTTGGGTGGTTTTATTCACTTGCAGCAAGCAGAGGAGACGGGATTCACATCCAAAGCTCTGACTCCCTCAAGAGAGGTTTAGCCACTGCTGATATATACTATTTGGTTAATTAATTTGGTTGATACCTTGGCAGGCGGCTAAACTTACAGGGATTTGGTTAATTACATGTTGATTTCTTTTTGCAGTTGGCTAAACTGGGGTCAAAGAACCACCCAAATCTTGAGACTCTTGTCCTATATAAGAAAAATGTTCCATAAACACTAACGTTCTCGACATTTTCTTACTTTAACGACCCCTCTGTGTTGGTGTGCTGCCTTGTATTTGCCCTAGGGGTTACTCACTGTACCCGCCAAGCCTCACCACCCTCAGCCAATGGTCCATAACCACATCCCATCTTTTACCATAACCTGTTTCTCCACAGTAATTTAAACATCACTGACGACCAAACCTCACTATAATTTTTGGTTCTTTTTATGTTTCTGCAGTAATGGTTCTTCAAATTCAAGAAAGTCACAGCCTAAGGAGCTGTCCAAAGTCAACAAGTACAAAAATCAGCCACTTCCTCTAGGATTACAAAAAAAGAGCGTGCATTTGAGATCCTGCTTCCCAGCAGTTGTCATCAGTTTGGCTGAAATAAACTCTTATAATAAAAGTTTTTTAAAAGACAAAAAAGCAATTCAGATAAAACACTTAACACCCAAGGCAAGGATCAACTCCATCGATTTGTCAAAACCAAGAGAGAACATTTTAGTGACCCCAAAGACCCAGCACTGAAGATCAAAACCTCTGGGTTATTTAGGGGACCAAGAAGTTATTAAGCAGCACTGATGAAAGATGCCCACGTCAGGCAGCACAGGATCACGGAAACATAGCTCCCTGTACGCGCCCCCTGTATGTACCCCTGTGTGCACCTTGTTAAGGAGAAAGCAGCATAACTCCATGGTTAAGGCGCTCTAGAGTTGGAGTGGGTTTAAAGCCTACCTAGGTTAGAATCTTAGAGTCTCTCATTTTCTTACTAACTGTCCTCGGACCACAGGAAAAATAACATCGCTAATATGACCACACTGAGAATTAAGTGAAATATACATACTTTGCTAAGCAGAGTTCTCCACAAATAATTAAGTTCTCGATCACTAGTAGTTAAGGCACCAGTCTTGGAGGCCAGAGCCAGCTGTCAAACCCTGTAATACGATTCATTACTCATAGGACGCTTGTATACTGCCTTGCATGGAATTTATCTGTAAGAATTTTGTCCCAATATAATTATTAGAACCTCATTTATTGAATAATTATTATGTGCCAGGCACTCTTCTGAGTGACTGAATTAAATGTGTTGACTCATTTAGTTTTCATAAAAGCCACAGTGGGTACACACTCATTTTCCTATTGTACTGGCAAGGAAACTGAGGCCTAAGGTCATTCGTGTAGTAAGTGCGAGAGCCAGGTTTAAAACCGCAGGAGCCAGGTTTAAAACCGCGGGAGCCATGGTGGCATCCCGGCTTTTAGTGACGAACACAGCTGCATCTCTCACTGAAAGCTTCTTGAAAGCAGAGGTCATTCAGATTTTTCACACACGTTTGCTGCACACATTATGCATGGGGTACTTCATAAGGCAGTGAACTATTTTTAATTTTCTCTATCTGTCCCTCAGTGCCTTAAGTATAACAGGTTCTCAGAAGCCATTTGAATGCAGGGCTCCAAAGGGCCTGACGTAATGCGACCTACCTGCCCTTCCAGCTCATCCTCCTCCCTCCTTACTCTGTCCACAGGGCTTTCTCCCTGTCCTTCTAAACTGCCACGTACACTTCCGCTTCAGTGCTTACACTAGGGGGGTCCATTCATTTCACAATCATTTGCTGAGCATCTACTATGTGACGGTCACGTGACTGGGCGCTGGCGCGTACAAGATGAAAAAGAAATAGGACATTCGTGAGAAAACAGGTGAAATCCAAACACAGTCTGTGTTTCAGGTAACAGGACTGCAACAACGCTAATTTCTAAGCCTTGACCAGTGTAAGATGTGAACGTTAAGGGGGCTGGGCGAAGGGTACACGAGAACTTTCCACCTATCCTCGCAACTCCTGTAGACGCGGCAGTGTGTCAAGATTAAACAATTCAAAAAGAAAAAAGCAAAACAGAGTTCCTGCCCCCAGGGACCCCAGTTCTGGAGGAAAATGTGAACGAGGGAGTACTCCGAAGTTAGTGCTGAAAATCAGGCCCCACGTAACGCCCAGGACGAAGGGAAGGGAGGGGACGGCGGGCCGGCCACCAAGCCCGGGGTCGCGCTGCTACGCGGCCCCCAGCTGGTCCTGGACGACCCGCTGATGTCACGGAGAGCCCCGGTCGGTGCTGGATGCCCAGGTCGCCCAGCCTCCGCAACCGCAGTGTCCTCCGCCGCACAGGTGCGCGGGGACCGGCGCCGGTCTCGCCTGCAAACCGCGGGCGCCGAGGCCGTCCTGCGACCCACCTGGAACTCCAGCCCGTAGATCACCGGCGCGTCGTCCTCCATGCTGCGGCCGCTCGCACGCCTCAGGCGGCTCCTTGGAACCCGCGCGACCTCCGTCCCGCGGCGCCGAGCCCGGAGGCTTTGAGGCCCGACGCGGCTTCCGTAGGGCGCACGTCCGCGACTTCCTGCTCCGTCATCACGTCCGCGACTTCCTGCTTCGCCGCCGATGCGCTCCCTGCCGGCGGCCAATGGCGGCGGCGCCCGGCTCGTGCGCATGCTCACTGCGCCCCCTTCCGGGCTCCGCTCCTGACCGGCGGGGAGAGGACCCCGCGGGCTGAACTGGGCGGGGCGGGAGCCGTGGCGGCGGGGAGCAGCCGGCCTCGTGGGTGGGGAAGCCGGCGCTCCGGCGTGGGCGGGCGGATGGGGAGGTGGGATGGCGCTCCTCCAGTCCGCGGTTTGGGGCCGCTCGGATGTCTCCTGCCGGCCTCCCCACCCCCGCCTTGCCCCATCATCCCAGAATTCTCCCCCAAGGAATGTGACCCCGTGTTCGTTACCGTTAGTACTTTCCCCGGCGCGGGACAAAGGCTTTATATGCGCTGTCGTAAAGTTCTTCGCTCCAACCTTGCGACTGAGGTTATTGTACTCCCATTTTACAGATGACCAGAGGCAAAATTCAGTAACGTGGAGTGGGGGGTGGGCAGCTAGGATGCATGCTTGATCTGTCACTCAATTAGTCTCCGTCCAGGATCCTTAAAATTAGGGTCTCTGCTAATTCGTGTCCGAAGGCGCCCGGCACCCGCGTGCGGCATGGGTAAAAGATCGCCTTGCCGCTTTGCCAGTGCCGTGGTGAGCTTCGGCGGCCGGCGTGGCAATGCTGGCAGCATTTGACAATGAATGGAAATCTGCCGGGAACACTCTGGCTTCCCCAGGAATCTCCAAGGACTGTCATGGTGGAGAAATGGCCTCTCAGACAGTACTCCAAACTGCTCACCTTGACACTAGACTTGTTATGGTGCCAACGATTCTAAGATCCACGGAGTCAATTGAGATTAATTATGAGCCTTTATTAGCCGGCCGGTGACTGACTCTCTACCACGAAGGGTTAGAGGAGGTCAGCCCCCAGCTTCCAGAGGAGGCAGCTTAGAAAGCCTCCTACTACATCCTCGAATAAGCAGTTTACATGAAGCGGAAGTTAGCCGTTAACATCGTGTACAGAGATAAATGTATTGGGGGACTCTCAGATCAAACAGGGCCTAGTAGACAGTTTTATTACTTGCACCTTGAAATGTTGTGCTTCTCCTGGGGGCTGGCGCCTGGAGATAGCACCTCCCTGTGACTGAGTTACTACTCTTCCTGGGGGCTGGCGCCTGGAGATACCACCTCCCTGTAACTGGAGAATTTCCACTTTTACAGGCCGTGTCCTTGTTACCAAACTCAGGGTTTGCCAAGCTGCAGTGGTACAGGGTTATTGATCAGAGTGTACAAACTTTTCATTGAAAATAAGTTCAGGAGACCTAATGTACAAAACAGTAATAATATATCTTATGCTTGAAATGGGATATTTCAAGTGTTGTCACCACACATACCCAAAAAGTGGTAAGCGATAGGTAAGTAGGTGACATGTTAATCATTTCGATTGTGGTCGTCATTTCACGATGTATATATTGTGTACCTTAGATATATACAACTTTCATTTGTCGAAAATACATTTTAAAAATTTATTAAAAAAGAAGAAATGGCCAGGTCTGGTTTGGCTCAGTAGTTCCAGCGCCAAATGCAGTGCCCGGCAGAATTACAGCCAGATGGATATCTGCCGGATCAATAAAGAGGTCTGGTTGATCACAGGAGAAATCAAGAAAGCAGAAGCACAGACATGAGCATGCTATTCACTGGCTCCGCTAGCCTGAGATTAAGTCATGGAGCTAAGAGAATGCAGGTTATTCATACTGCTGGATTTAATCAACCCAGCTACTATTGCCATTATTACTGTTACTACCATTTTTCTCAATGTTATTACACATCTAGTACAGATACAGAGCAGAAAAGTTGAAAATACCGGTAGGTACTAAGACAAATCCCTGAAAACAGTATTTCCAGGGTGCTGTGGCCTGCAGTAAAAAGCGCCTAAGGGTCTCCCTGCCAGCTGCCCTCTGCCTCAAGGTCGCCTTGCAGTCTCTGACGTCAAAACCACTTCCCTCTCCACTACCAGGTGTGCGCTCCACCATCTCCCCACCAGGTGCATTTCCCTCCCTTTTCACACCTTGGGGCCCAGGTCCCGCCCACCGCTGCGCGAAACGGAAACGCGCCGCGCTTCCGGCCGCGACAGGTGCGCCTCCGGCTCCTGCACTGGGCATGCGCGAGGCCGGCGAACGCAGGCGCAGACGCGGCGGGAGGCGTCCGGCCAGTTCTCCCTTCTGGGCTTCTTCCGACTTCGCCCGGGCCTGGTCGCGGCCGCTGGTGACCCTCCCCGGCCCCGGTGGGCGGGTGGCAGGTGAGGCTCGGGGCCCGGGCCACAGGGCGGGGTGAGGCCGTCCGTTCCCGCCGCCCTCAGCCCCAGTCCCTCGGGGGCGCCTCCCCGGAGTGCCCGTTGGGGGACTCCTTTCCGGGTGCACCGCCCCCCCACCGGCCTGCACCCCACGGCCTGCGCCCGGCCCCTCCTGGAGGGCCGGCCCCTGTCCCCCGCGGCTCTGCGCGTGCGTCTTCGCCGTGGGCCCTTCGGGGCGGGGTCGCGGACCCCGCGGACGCCCGGCGCTCAGGGGCAGAGAGGGCCGGAGGTCCAGGTCCCAGCGCTGGCGCTCGGTGGCCAGCTTGGCCAAGGGGGCTCAGCTAGCCCCTAACTTCTCTTACCCCTGTTTGCTCGTGAGCGGAAAGTCGTTCGTGGTCGCCCGCCTGCCCCTACTCAGTGACGTGGGCGTAAAATGCGGCGATGTGTGTGACTTAAGTCACCTTCCAAAGCAGCGTCCAGGGCTGAACCGATCGGTAGGGTATGTGTACACGAAGACTGAAAACAGGTTCGTTTAAAAAGAAACAAGGCTCAAAGACGTGTTCTAAGGTGTTCCAATTTCTCACTCGACTGCAAAAGTTCGACCCCAAAGAATCATTTCCTTTCTTTTTATGGCTGCTTGAAGATCCCAGACCCTTTGGATTGAAGTCCTTTATTCCTTGTTTCTTTTTATAAATTCCGAAGAGAGCGCCGAGCGGCAGTGAGCCGGGCCCCCTGTGCGGTGGGCTGGGGGAGAAGGGGGGAACGCAAATAGGACCGCACCGTGTTACTCCTTCAGGTCTCATTCTGTGGTTTCTAACAGCCTTCACCATCCCAAGACGTATTTCCATGCTTCATCGTGGAAAGTACAATGACCGTGGTCATGTACGTGCAGCTCGTGGCAGTTTTAAAAGTGCCTGTGTCAGTTACTGTTTAATCCCTATTATCCCAATTTCCAGATGAGGACACCGAGACTAAAACGTGAGGTTATTTTTCAAGGCTCACTTAGTAGTGAAGCTAAGACTCAAGCAGTTAGCCGGAGCCTGCATTCTGTGCCTCTCCTGCCTCACCCCTGCCGCTCTGAGTCATGATCTATCCTAGCAGCATTTCAAGGAGAGCCGAGGCCGAAACACCTGTGCGGGCATCCCACCAACATCAAGTATTGGCACTGTGACTTTGGGCAATCACTTGGCTTTCTCTGCTGTGCGGTGCTCATAATACTGTATAGGTTGGTTCTGAGGATTAAGTAAGATAAAGCATGTAAAATTCTTGATGGGTAGTGAGCGTTTTTACATGGGCTTTTATAAATACATACTAGTTAGATTTGGTATGGTTCTTTCACGGTTTACTTTTTTCCCATCTGGTAAAAGATTTATAATTCCAGAGTCTTATGTCCAGAAAGGGAACCTGAACAGTGGTAGTTTTCATTGTTAGTGAATTTAAATTACTCGAAGTTATTATTAAAAACGTGTTAAGGAATTAATTAAGCTCGTGCCAAGCACTCAACTGGGCAGAGAGAAGTCGGACTCCCTTGCTAGCATTTTGATGGCGTCAGCATAGAGAATCATTGTAGATTTAAGGAGAGAGATTTTATTTGGGTCCATTTGAGGACATTGCCCAAGAAGCCTTGAGACTGCTTCAATTTTAGGAACGTGGGGGGATGTTTCTATATGCAGTCAGACAAAAATATACGTGTCAGCAATTTCAGGTACACACATTCAAGGATTAACACTTTTGCATCAGGTGGAGAGATTATACAGACGAGGAAGCGTCATCACGCACCCAGAGTTGGGAGTTTCGGGAAAGGGGCTGGAAGCACTTGCATCTGTGTTTTTATCAGGACACAGAAAGAACAGGCACTGCCTTCTGTGATCATTTATCGTTTTCACTGGAACTATTGGAAGGTGTCGTACACGTGGCCACCCCGTGGAAGGCCTTGGTCAGGCGTTGGCTGCGTTCCCTTGGTTACCGGCCAGGCTGGAGCAGCCGCTGACACACTTTCCTTTCTCGGTGGTAACATAAGCTTATGACCATACCTATCGCTTAATGACAGTCGTTGGCCAGTACTAGTAAAAATTTATGTCACACAGATAAGAACAAATACCTGTGCTTTTCCATTTTTTAATTTGGAAATGTAAAGACTGCACATAACATGCACGGAAGATGTAGCGATCAGGTGCCAACGCAACCTGCCCTTCCAGCACCCGCATCCGAAGTGGACCGTGGCCAGCAGCTCTGAAATGCTTCACGTGTCCCCCCCATCAAGCCTCCTTCCCCCTTGCTTTTGTGTTCATTTTCCTAAAACAGTATATTGTTTAATTTACACATTTTGAAACTTTATATGGAAAATCGTACTGTTTATTTTTCTCCTTGTGCCCTTTGCAAAATTAGATTTGTGAGACTCACACACCGTGATGCATTTGTTCTCACTGCTGTTTAATGTTCCAAATGCGAATGTGCCACTGTTTATCATCGTGTCTCTGCGCACTGGTCGTTTCCACTTTTTTTATTTCGGGGGTTTTGGAAAGGGGAAGTATTTCGTTTGGATTTGCCATTCAGACACATCCACAGTCATTGCTTATGGTGCCATGTGCAAGAGTCTCTCTGCGACATATGAAGTTATGGGCAGTGAGACTGTATGTTGTCCCAACTGGGACTCGTGTTGAAAGTGGAAAGAGGTTACTTCCTTTTACCGAGATGTGGGCATAACATGAAGTTGTCCTGGAAAAATCTGGAAGTATAACTGTTGGAGTGCTAGGGTGGGCATGCTTGTGAAATGCGCCTCCCTTTCAGCCTGTTCAAATCTTCGGCCTGTTTTTCTGTTGTATCATTTACTGTCCTATTAATTTGTAGGAATCATTAATACAGTCTTAATATTAAGTGTGAATAGCAAGTGTACAAGAATACTTATACTCTGCTGCTAAGTAATTGGTACATCCACTTCGTAAAGCAATTTGGCATTATCTAGTGAAGACGAAGCGTAGTCTGTATGATCCAGCATGCACACTTTTGATATGAAGAAATTTGCACACGTACACCAGGAGACGTGTATAAGAACAGTAACAGGACTGTTCGTAGTATCAGAAACTTAAAAACACCCCGAGTGTCCACAGCAGTCGAGCAGATGATATGTTGTGGCACCACCCCACCGCAGCGTCATCACCAGAGAGCCGAATGACATCTAGCTTCACACCACTTAGAAGGTCAAAGTGGGGAGGAGACATAAAGTTAGAAACTGGAAAAGTCTAACATGTTGTTTGGGAGGAATGAACATGGAAAATTAAAGAAAAACAAGAGTATGACAAATTTCAGAATGTTACCTCCGAAGGTACTAGGGTATTGTCTTAGCCGCAAGTTATAAATATTGTGTTGTATCCAATCAACATTTAATTAAAATTGTTTATAGAAACTGTACGTTCAGAAGAGAAGGGGAAGTATAACAAGAACCTTCTAAGGTCTTCTCGTGAAAAATGTGAGAGAACTCACACGTGGCTGCCACAGGCTGCCCCTTTCCGACCAGCCGCTCCTCCGCGTGCCACGCTTCCTCTCTCCTTGGCGTCTGTGTTACAGTCACTTTCCTCTCGATGTCATTCCCTCCCCTCGGCTCCTGGAGAGCAGGGTAACGTGGCTTTGCCCTGGTGTCTGCGGCACGGTAGCACTGGGTGAGGAGCGGTCCCTGGTTTGTGGGACGTTTCCACCCAGTGCAATGGCAGTGGTTTTTCATGAATGTGTGGTTTCTATGCAGAAAGCAAGAATAACAGTGTAATTTTTCCTCTGAACTGGGCGGCTTCTGTGTAAGCATCATCACCAGGAAACAGAAGTTGATTTTCTAAATTAGATTGGATTAGAAACAATGTATCTGAAGACCATCAAAACATAGTTACAAACTTAAGCATTGACTTGAAAGATGGTTACTTTTTTCTTTTTTTCAGATTTCTTTAAAAACATTTGAGGCAAACTTGTAAACCCAGAATTGCTGTGTGGGTTTTGCCCTTTGCCTAGCTGTCCTTCAGAAAGGCTACATTCTCCTTATCAGTAAATAAGTTTCCCCAAATTTACTTTTAAAATCTTTGTCTATTTCATAGGCCAAAAAAAAAAAATCCATAGTTTTAATGTGGGTTTCTTTAATGATCACAGATGCAGTTATTGTCCAAGCCACGTAACAACTGTGGTTGCAGAGTGATGAGCCTTCTCGTGTCCTGTGCGAAGTAGCTCCCGGTCCTCTGTGGACAGTTCTCCTAGGTACCCATGGTAGCCTGTCTTTCTCGCATCTTGTAATACCTGCCCGTTAACCTCAACTGGCAGTTATTTTTGCTTATTTTAAGGTTTTCCTGTTCTTCCTACATATACAGAAGACTCTGACCTCGCCAGTTCTGTTCCATATCTTTTCCTGGAGTCGTGCGGACTGGTCTTCTGTCCTCCAGTGTTCCGTACACCGATGCGCTGTGGGAAGATCCGGAGTTATCCTCCGGAGTGTTCTTATTCCGGGCAGGGCTCGGAACCAGCCCGCAGTTAACTGGCAGCACTTACTGGCAGCTCCTGGGTTCCAGGCGCTGTGCTAGGGGCTGGGACACTTCAGTCCTCCGGGGTTTAGTCCAAAGGGCCAAATTCTCTTCCTGGCCATGTCATTTACTGACAGTGACTTCATTTCTCTGATTCGTAGTGTCCTCCTGTGTCTGCTGGCCGTTGCTAGCTATCTGTTCAGTTGGTAAGAGGCGAAACAAAGCCCTGCTTGTGTTTCCAGTGTCTTCGTGCCCGGCCCCCACTTCCCGCACAGGGAGGACCCAGGGGAGAGCCTCACGTGCGGGGCACCCACACACTGATGTCCCTGGGGTAGCCTGTAGTCTGGGCTCGCCGAAGCGTTATAAGAAAAGGGCTCTTGTTCCTTTCCTTTGTATTTTTGACTCATTTATAGTTAATAATTATTGGATGAATGTATAATAAATGGAGAATTAGTAACCGATTGTGCCGAACAAGAAAATTCTCCAAAACGTTTAACTTTGATTATGTACTCTAAATGATCTTATCTTTGGATTTTAGGGTGATCCAGGCTATAAAAAGGAAGGACAGCTAACTTGGAATATTGTGATGAGAATGTTGACAGGGAGAAGAAAGGAATCTTTGATCAGCTAAGTATAGTTTTTGAAAGTCAAAAAGGCCCTTGGTGGGGCGGGGGGAACCTTCAGCTGTCATGATTTTCTTAGTTTCCTTAACTCGAATTTGTTCACTACGAGGATAGAACGATGTACAGAAACTTTTGCTCAAAAAAGTTCTTTCAAAGAAGGAGCAAATAGTGTTTTCGGAGTTCGAACTCCTCGTTTCGTTCCGTGGCCTCCGTCAACCAGCGTCACCCCAACGCTTCAGCTTCAGCTGGTCTTAGTTTCTCACGTTCCAGCCGTATGGTTCTGAGCTGCAGAACCCCTGGAAGCTTCAGTTCCCTCGTCTCCCCAGGGAGGGAATTGGTGGCCATCTTACAGGGTTGTTCTGAGCACCAAGTAAGAGAACACGTGTGCCGTAGCTCGGAGCCCGCCAGGCGCGTGCGAAGCGCTGACGTGTGGCATCGAGCTCTGTCGTCAGCTCCCGCCGTCCCCGGGCCCCGGCGAGCACGCCTTTGTTTCCTCCCCGTTCCTTACACGCGTGCCCTCTCGCTGTCCCAGACGCCCAGAATTAAGCAGCATTACTGGCTCAGGAGAGGACGAATTGAGTATTACAGATTGGATGGCCTCGGGGAGGCTTTGTGGGAGAGGGGACTTCAGCCGAGTCTCACAGAATCAGTGGGGTTTGAAAGGCTGGAGCCCTCACACCCACGGGGATGGCCGCTACGGCTACACTCAGAAAGACAGAAAATAACGAGCGTTGGCAGCGATGTGGAAAAATTGGAATCCTTGTGCACAGCTGGTGGCAGTGTAAAACGGTGTAACCACTATGAAACATAGTTTGATAGTTCCCCAAAAAATTAAACATAGAATTGCCATATGACCCAACCGTTCAGCTTCTGGGTATATGCCAAAAAGAATTGTGGGCAGGGTCTCGAGATATTTGCACACCCATGTTCACAGCAGCAGTGTTGACAGTAGCCAAAAGTTGGGTGTAATCTCAGTGTCTGTTGATAAATAGATAAACTACTGTGTGCATACAGTGGGGTATTATTCAGCTTTAAAAATTAAGGACATTCTGATATATGCTACAGCATGAGCCTCGAGGAGTTTTTGTAGGTGAAATAAGCCAGATACAAAAGTATAAATACTACGTGTTGCCGCTTACATGAGACACATAGAATATTCAAATTTATAGATTCATAAAGTAGACGGTGGTCGCCGGGGGTGGGGGGTGTGGTGGGGGCTGTTTAACGAGTACGGAGAGTCGGTCCTGCAAGCTGAGAAGAGTCCCAGGGACAGTCACGAAGGCCGGCCGCACAGCCTGGATGTGCATGGTGCCCCCGACCCAGGCGTGCGCTGAAAAGTGACTCAGGTGGTGAATCTAGGTTGTTTGTCGCTTTCCACAGTAGTAAATAAATGGCCGGAGAAGTGGAGTCTTCCGAATCCTGAGTCGTCTGCATAACTGATGAACATTTGTTAAATAGACTTTTTTCGGCGCGGTCTTCGGTTCACTGCAGATGTGAGCAGCAGGTACAGAGATGGTGCACACACCTGCCTCCCCCACTGCCAGCGTCCCCTCCACGGGGTGCACTGGTCACCACGCACACCCGCGGTCAACGTCAGGATTCCCTCTTGGTGGCGTGTCATCTGCGGGTTTGGGAAAATGCAGTGACGCATTTACCATTATAATGACACGTATTCAGCATTTTTATAAATTAAAGACAGTTTTAATCTGCTTAGTGTAACTGAGACGGCGCTGACGGGGCTGGTGCATGTTTGTCTCTGTTGCAGGCCACCATGGAGACTGCCCAGGGCGCTACGCAGAGTGGGACAGAGGCGTCACGGCCGGCCGAGGGGCGAGCGGAGAGCGAGGCCCCGCGGGAAGAGGGGCGGCCGCTCTACCTGGAGGAGACCGTTGACCTTGGCGGGGCCGGGCTGGGGTCCGAGGACGGCGGGGCCCTCTCGGAGGAGGCCCGCGGCTCCGCCGACAAGCTCACGGAGCGTGCCATGGAGAGCGTCCTCATATCTGACTCTCCCGATGACAGCGACGACGACGCGGATGAGCTCGGTGGCCTGCAGGAGGTCGTGGAGCCCGCGGAAGGCAGCGCCGGCCACAGACTGGAGGACGTCACGGATGAAGGGGCAGCCGACACTCTGAGCAATGACAGTGACAGCGACGGGGACGGACCGCCCAGCGCCGTCCGGGACACGACCCCTGACAGCAGCGCGTCCCTGGGGAGCGGGGCGTCCTTGGGGGCAGCCGCGGCGCAGGAAGGGCTTGGGGCAGGCGCAGAGGCCCTGGCCGCAGGGCGCCCCAGCCCCGAGGAGGAGCCGGTCCCAGTGTGCACCATCTTCAGCCGGGCGCCGCCCGCCACCGCCCAGCCACTGCCCTTCCTGCCCGACGGCTTCGAGTCGCAGCTGGTGAAGTCGCCGAGTTTTGGGGGCGCCGGCCAGCCGGCCGCCACGACACCCCCGCAGGTGGTCCAGCCCAGCCCCAGCCTGAGCACGTTTTTTGCGGACACGACCAGCACCAACTCCCTGGCCTCGGACTTCTTCGATTCGTTCACGACATCCGCCTTCATTTCCGTCAGTAACCCCAACGCGGGCCCTTCGGCCCCGGGCTCGGAGGCCACCCCGGCTTCCGCTGACCCCGCCCGCTCCCCCGGGGCCCACGGGCCGGAGCCCTGCGTCCCAGTGGCTTCTCACGAAGTTCCGCCATCACCAAAGCCCTTCTCCCAGATTCAGGCCGTGTTCGCAGGGAGCGAGGACCCCTTCGCCACCGCCCTGAGCATGAGCGAGATGGACCGGAGGAGTGACGCCTGGCTCCCCGGGGCGGCCACCAGGGACGTCTTGCTTTCCGTGGCGGCCCAACAGTACGGCACGGTGTTCGTGGACAAGGAGAACGTCACCATGCCAGGCCTCAAATTCGACAACATCCAGGTGAGACGCGGGTGTCCCCAGTGAAGTGGGCAGTTGTGTGTGCACCCCTCGTTTTTACGCGTACATATAATATAAATTAAATACTTTTGGGGCAGTGAAAAGCCGTTAATTTTCAGCAGGTCCTAAGATTCTGGTGGGAGGAGTCCGTGTTATGTCACTAGGTGATTTAGAACCTTCTCACGTCCCCTGACACAGCGTATCTGAGGTACTAGTCATAGTCTTAGAAGCCAGTCCGTCAGGGCACGTGGTTCTCTGAAGTAGCTCTAAACTCTGTGTGATCAGTTTATGTGTGACATTTGGGCTTCGGTAAATGATAAATCTCCCATTTCTTTTTTTAAATCTTGAGGAAAATATTGAATTACACATAATATCCTTGATGCACAAACAGTAAGAATGGACAGGGAGGATCTGAGCAGTGCCCAGGCCCGTCTGCCCTAGCCCAGGGCCGACCACACGCCACACACCTCTGGGTGACCGCCACGCTGTCACCACACACTCGGGGCCTCCCCCAGCCCCCCGCTTGGTGTGCCTTTTCGTAAACCGGGCGCAGGTGCGCTCCGTCTCCAAAGGAAGAGCAGTTCCCAAATGCTCGTTTCACTAAAGATCGCGATACTCCAGCCAGCATCTGGCCGGCAGCATCTGGCTAAGGCCGAGGCTCGCTGTGCTGTGACCGCCTTTAACCTCCACACCCCCGGAGAACAAAGAAGTTCCAGTCAGTCATGGTTCTGGTCAGCTGAGTTTAATCAGCATTTTATTCCTGACATATTTTCCTTATATTCTTTCCAGGGAGATGCAGTTAAAGACCTGATGCTTCGCTTCCTGGGTGAAAAAGCTGCAGCGAAGAGACAGGTCCTGAACGCGAACTCGGTGGAACAGTCCTTCGTGGGCCTGAAACAGCTCATTGTAAGTAGCGCTGTGTTTGATTTTCGGTACTGCCCCTCGTAATGTTCACTTCCACAGAGTTAATTGGGTTGAATGCATCGTCCAAGGCCCTCGCACCTACGCAGAGGTCACGTTAGATACCAGCCCTGTGTGGCAAAGGCGTCACGTCAACATACTTTCAATTTTAAATCCAGTTAGCTTAAAAGACGTTATTTTAAATGATCAAATTATTTGAAGGAGCATATACTTCGATTAAAGAGGCTTCCTTAAATATAATAACTGGATTGTTTATTATAATAATAACTGTCGATTTTTTAAGATACTCTGTTTTCTCCACTGGGTGTAGAAGGCTTACCATTGAATAGGTGCATTCACCAAAAAGTCGTTGCTTAGTCACTGACAGGAGTAAGCGCAGACACCCACGCAGACGCTGTCCTAGATCTGAGGAGGAAACTCACTTGCAGGCGTGCTAACGTGGGGGCGGGGCAGATATTTCTGGGTTCCGTGAACCACCGGAAATTGTGTGCCCACAATTGCCTGTTTTCTCAGCATATTTTATCATCTAGCACAAGTGTCGTCCTCAGAAAGGTGAGTGAGAACCCCGTGCTTAGGTGGCTGGCAGACATTTCACCCGCGGCCCAATTAGAGCTAAGTTTTTCATAAGTAAGTCAAGTGCTTCATTGAGTTTCTTTCCGTGAAGCGATTCGAGAATTAGTCCTGTGATTGAGAAGCTTTGGGAAGGAAGGATGTGGAGATTCTCTGTTTTTAAAAGAGGGCGAAAAACTGATTTTTAAATATCCGAATGCTTTATTCGTTAATGAATCTGTAGGTCTTTAAAGGTAGTCATCTCCGTGGTCCCGTAAAACCGCTAAAATGAGTTCCCTCGCACCGTCGAGCGGGCTGTCGTTCCCTTTATTTGGCCGTGAAAAACTGCTGTGATACATGACTCTGAGCAGCAGGCTGTGTCTGCAGTCTGACTGTGTGACAGTGAGCTTAGCGAGCACACACACAGCCACACACAGTCACTGTGGTTCCACGGCTATCTTTCCACCTCGATTATTCCCGGTGTTAATAAATACATACATGGTGTGATTTTTTTTTCATACACTGAAAATTCTTGAGGCCAGTAGAGATCTTATTAACAGGCGTAGCAAGGAGACTTGTCTGAGGTGGGAAATGTGTTTATAAAAAGACCGTACCTCGCCCTGATGCTTTAATTACGTCCTAAAATAGTTGCTGGCGTCTTTAAGGCCAGGCAGGAGTTCCTGAGTAATATCAGTGTTCTGAGGTTGGAATTTGCAGGGAAATGCGTGTCACCGCCTGTGGAGAAGGGCATTTCAGTCAGCTCAGCGTGTCGGTGCGGAGGCGCTGGCTCCCTTCGAGTTGCAGATGAGAGCTGTGTCCATACTAGGTAGTCGGTGTTTTATTGGGCTGTTTTCCTCACCTTTTGGAAGTTGTCAAATGCGTGTTCAGTTCTTCAAATAGAATCTATATTTTATTTCCTGTTTTTAAAAAGTAATATTTAAATTCAGATCTTTTTCTCACATGCAGCTGACTTCGTTGTCAGAGTGTCCTAAACAGTGATGGTGGGGTTTTTCTCAAGGTTTTCTCCACAGAGCTTACACTTTTACGTGGTATATTTTAAGTCCTAATTTTAAAAACACGTTTTTTACCGACCACCTCCAACATCTGATGTTGACAATGGAGGGGCACTGGAGGGGAGAAGGCAGCGAGACAAACGTAGCAAGAAACACTCTGGAGAAGCACGCAATGACAGTTTCGGAGCGCCGGCAGCATGGGGTCACAGCGCTGGCTCTCACAGGCGGAGCGAGGCCCCCTGATTAGAAGGAACCGCGCTGCGGGGTCCCACCCAGACCGCGCACCCGGCTCTCCGGCCAGACAGGGCGGGGGAGACACAGGTCAGCCCAGTCTGCCGCTGCATCTTCCCATGAACAGAGAGACCCACGTCACCTCTCGGGCCAGTGGCCGTCAGAAAGCTGAAGGCTGTACTGCCTTGGAGAAGTGAACCCAACACACACACACAGATGCTTGACGCATGCGAACTGCACGTGCCTGTGCCTTCTGAGTGAGCGCTCCTGCAAGGCCCGGAGCTGGAGGAGGGGCTGGAAACAGCAAGCCCTCGCCACCACGGCAGCGTGACGGCCCCGGGGGTCACAGACTCCCCGGGCCCCACACCGAGTACTCGAGCCAGACGGGGAGACACCGCTGGGAGCACAAACGTGTCTGCGCCCCACTTTCAGTTAGGAGAGCAGCCTCTAAGAGATTCGTTACGTTTACGTTTAGAAAAGAATGATTAAGAGCATGGTTTTGCTTCGTTTATAATAGTAGCAGTCTGGTTTGAGATGTAGAAAACGTCTTATGTGAAATCATGACAAAAGCTAAAGGCCTTTTGTATGATATATTTTACTATGTTTTTCATCATTTTTGGAGCACTTCATATCCGCAAAATACTGTGTGTGGCGTGCTGGCCGGCGGCGTGTCCCTGATGCTGGCCGTCAGGCGGTGGCAGTCAGGGACGAGGGCGAGGAAAAGTACTTGAGGAGAGTGTGGAACAGTGCGTTCCACGCCGAGCTGGCACCGCACGGCCACGAGGACGCCCAGAGCCCGGTGACACCAGCCAGTGGGGAGGACACGGCGCTGTCCTCCAGCACGGGAGGCAGACAGCACAGCCCGTGTGGAAGGCGGTGGGGCGGCTTCTCAGCCCCGCACGGGCTCTTCACCGTGCAGCCCAGTGGCCATGCTCCTGCGGTTTCCCCAAGGAGACGAAACCGCCGTGCACACAGACACCTGCGCACGGGCGCTCGGGGCAGCGCTGCTCGTCCTGGCCAGGACGCGGGAGCTGCTGGGGCGTCCTCCAGGAGGCGATGGGACAGTGGAGCATCCGTCAGCACTGCAAGGGTGTGAGCCGTGAGCCGGGAGGTGTCCTGGGGGGGCCTGAGAGGCTGTGGCCAGGGGCGGCCAGGGGCGTGCACCAGGTCCCACTGCCCGTGAGCAGGGAGCCTGGCCGTCCCGAAGTTGCTAACCCCACACCAAGGTCCTTCCCGGCCCCGTTTCACTGAATGCGTGTGTGCGCACGTATCCGTGTCCACGTGTACACAGACGTATCCGTGTCCACGTGTACACACACGAATCCGTGTCCACGTGTACACACACGTGCAGATGAAGAGAAGATGCTTGCACAGGGACTTGGCGCCGGTCCCTGCTGACTGCATCATGAGTTTAATCCTGAGCGAGGGGGAGAGCCGGCTGGACCCTTTAAGGACCGTCTGAGGGGTTTCAGCCGCCTGGTGCGCGTTCTCACGGCTCCATGGCGCGTGCTCCGTGCCTGCCTTGACAGCACCTCATTTGGACATCCCGTCCTTCGCGTAAGATGGGTTCTCTCAGCTTCACGAATTCCGGAGGCCGTGAGCCTCAGGGTTGGGTGGGTTACCAGCGCTCTTTAAAAGGCGACACCCGTGTCTCCCGACTGCCATCCAGCTCCCCCTCTGCTGTGGCTGCCGGTCCAGGCGTCAGAGTAACCGCGTGGGTCCAGGCCCCGACCGTCCGGGCGACGGGCCTGCAGGACTGCCGTACAGCCCCTGGTGGCCCCTGACGACCCCTGACGACCCTGTGTCCTCACCTGGACCTCGGACCCGGCCTGGGGGAGCACAGCGTGGGGGAGCTGCGTGGAGGAGCTGGTGCGTAGAGTATTGGGCAGTCACTGTGACACACTCGTCCCACGTGCACTGAACACGTGTAAGTGTCTGTCACACAGGGCTGTGTCAGTCCCTTGCCTGGAACCGTTCGGTGGCTTCCCACACCCTCAGGCTGAGTCGGACCACTGGCGGCCTGAGCTGTCCGTGCTCACTGTCCTCGCCCTGCACCTCGCTGCCTGTGCTGCCCCAGGCGGGAGTGATGCCCCCCACTCACACTGTCTGCGGAGGCCCCTCCGGGATTCACCCGCGCCGCCCCTCGGCCCAGAGAGTCCTTCCTCCTCTCTTGACCCTGCTGTTCCCAGGCCGTGTGGTCTCGGCGTCGCACCCCCACCCTGAGAGGAGGCCGGCCCCCTGGCATGCTCCCAGGGCACCCTCGGCCTCTTTCCTGTTCAGGAAGCACTTGGCATTCACACCAAAGAATACGATTAATCCTTAAATGCAGTTTGGCATCTGCCCCCCGTGCTGGACGCTGAGATGAATGAGCACAGGTGTGTTCTCACCACTTTGCCCACAGAGCCCGGCACGGCCTCTGCGTGCGAGGGAGACTTCGCGCTCACGTGCTGACCGCGCAGATGACATGTCCGCAGTGTCCAAAGGTGGTACCTACCAGGCGTCCACGTTTAGCTTCCTGAAGGGTTAGACATTCTCTCCGGTGCTAATCTCGCATGTTTGCTGGGTGGCCCTCCTTTCGTTCCTGCATTGGGGCAGAGAAACACAGGAGGTCCAGAGTGACGAGCCAGCGTGTCAGCATCCGCCAGCCCCTCTGAGGTCCCGTTACACCGTGAACTACTGCGAACATGCAGTGCGTTGACGTCCTGGCCTGTAACACATTCTGTTAACATGGTTCATTCGGGTTTTCATACTGAGAAACAAACATCACATTGTATGTATAAACTCATTGATGGTCACATGCACATCACACAGATAGACGTAAACATAGCCAGCACATAACATCTGAGTAAATTGATTTTAAATGGATGGAAATCGCGAGGTAGAGCCTCTTGCTGAGAGGGAAGGCGGCCTCACAGGCTTGGGGCGGCGGGTTCTCCCGTCCTTCACCCGCTTTCCCTGAGCCGCGGCTCGTGCTTGGCGCTCTTCCTGCCCAGCGGCCCGTGCGGCGCTGAGCGTCGGTGTTCTGCTTGGTGCCAGCGGCCTCTGGCCACGGAGCCGCATCCAGCACGAGCTCCTGCACGGCTGCGTTAGCTGACGTGCCCGCTGTGTCTTACAGAGCTGCAGGAACTGGAGGGCGGCGGTGGACCTGTGCGGGCGCCTCCTCACAGCCCACGGCCAGGGCTACGGCAAGAGCGGGCTGCCCACCAGCCACACCGCGGACTCGCTGCAGGTGGGCCCCGGGGCAGGGGGACCGCTGTCCGGTCCGTCGTGGTTCGGGGGCATGGAGGGAGTGTGACCTCATCTCCCGGCTTTGATCTCAGTGTGGGGTGTCTCCAGTCCCCTCCCGGGTGGTGCTGGCGGGGACCAGAGCCCTCGCCCGGCCCCAGGAGCAGGCAGCCCAGAGCTACAGCACACTCCCATGGTGCAGGCCTGGCTGGGTGGAGGGTCCAGGTGCTCCCGGGCCTAGAGGCAGGACACGTGTGATCCCCGGGGGATGCGCGCTCCGTCAGCTGCTACTGTCCCCCGTGTCATAGTGTCAGCCCCGATTCCCGTGCCGCCCCCACGGCTGACGGGGCAGGGAGGGCTGCAGAGCAGCACTTGGCCCCCTGCCTGCGGCCACCTGTCACAGGAGCCCCGTCTTCCCGGCCTCGGCGCGGCCCGCCCCCCTGCAGGCCCGCTCCGGACTTCAAGTCTCCCCCTCCATTCATTCGCTAAACTGTAGCCACGGTCACCTCTCAGAGCACAGGTCGGCCCATCTGCTCTCCGGCTCAGACACTGTGTGTAGCTCCCACTGCTACCTGGTCAGATGTCACCGCCCGCCTGTGCCAGGCCCGCCACCAGCGGTGCTCGCAGAGGCGTAAGAAAGGCCCCAGCTCCATTTGGCGCCCGTCACTTCCTGGCTTGCAGCG